CACACGAGTTGGGGAAGAACAGAGAGAGAGAATTCCAAGCAGGCTCCACACTGTCAGTTCAGAGCCAGATGTGGATGGGGCTCCATCTCACCAACCAAGAGAGCTTGACTTGAGCCAAAATCAAGAGTCAGATGCTTAACCAAGTGAGTCAACCAAGTGCCCCTGAGGTAACTTTTAAAAGAAAACAGTAGGGGCACCTGGGTGGCTCAGTCAGGTAGGCATCCAAGTTCAGTTAGGCTTCCAACTTCAGCTCAGGTCATCATCTTGCAGTCCCTGAGTTGAAGCCCCAGGACAGGCTCTATGCTGACAGTTCAGAGCCTGGAGCCTGCTTCAGAGGCTCACTCTCGCTCTCGCTGTGTGTCTGTCTGTCTGTCTCTGTCTCTCTCTCTCTCTCTCTCAAAAATAAACATTAAAAATATATATTTAAAAAATAAAAAATAAATAATACAGTAAACTAAAATGTTAGAGACCTCCACACCAAATTTCCCATCTATGCAAGGAAAATGAGAACAGTGACAAATCAATGATATTAAGAAATGATTGTTAATATTTCTGAGAGTATGAAAATGGTGGTATTGTTATGAGAGAATCCTTGTCTTCTGGAAACGCATAGTGAATATTTACAAATTAACATGATGTCTGAGATTTGCTTCATAAAATCTGGGTGGGCACAGAGGAAACTAGATTGGTCATCGTTTGATAACTGCTAAAGTTGATAAGAGGTTACAGGATTATATATTATATCATTCGCCCTAATTTTTTATGCTTGAAATTTGTATTTTATATGCTTAAAATGTGCCAAAAATAGAAGAAAAAAATAAATAATAGTATGGAAAGTTTAAAAAAAAAAACCCACAAAAACAAAGCCTGTATTTCCTTTAGCATCTAGCACGTGACACCCAAATATATGATGAAAAAAATAAAGTACATGTCAAAATTAAAGAATAGTTCCTAGAAACTTCCATAATGACAACAGCAAATTAAAACAAAAGAAAATGACCAAAGTGAGGCCCTCCTTCAGTGTCAAGGAAAAATGGCCTGCAATGTGATAGCACAGTGATCTCAGATTTGAATGACTGGAACAGAAAGGGGACCACCTCAAAAGGCTTTTCATCTTTCAACAAGATAAAAGGCACCATACTTTATTCTACAAAAGGTCATTCATATAAACGCAAAATATAATCAAAAGGGACAAGAAAATGTGGCTGAAATTTTATGTACCAAATAACACTGAAACATAATTAGAAGGAATAGTAATAAAAATATAAAGAACCAATTTGACTAGAAAACAAATACAGCAAGAAACAAACACTATCTCAATCCCAGAAAAGGTCAAGTAAATAAAAAAATTTTTAAGGCATAGAAAACTCAAATCTTAGAAATGCTAAGGTAGTATAAACTAGATATACAAAACTTGAATCCTTCAAAACATAATTTCTATCACCTCTAGAACCAGTTTCAACAATCTCCCCAGCTAATTAAGTCTGCTCTAGTCCAATGATATTAGCCTATGGGGTTATACAATCAAAACAATTTTTTTAGAGCCACCCATCTAGCTTGTGTACAGATAAATGTTTGGGTTTCTTTAAATTCACATTCAAGTAGAGATAAAAATCTAATGGACTAAAAGTACAAAAAGGCATAAAATTTTCCCATCAGGAAAAGAAGCTGTTATTTATGCCAGCTTATCCTGCTAATGTGCCAAAGAGTAAGATGTGATATATGTGTTTCACATTCTAGGAATACCAGATTTTTAGCTACCACCTACATAAGAGCTTATATAAAAACATCTCAAGTACCTATTTTAGTTTGATTTTTCTCTTGCCTCTACTCTTATTTGCCAGAAAATCTCAAATTCTTAATAAAAACAAACTGAAATAGGTACCAGAGATATTTTTATGCCATTAATTCCCAGTACACTACAATGCACCCTGTTGCTGATCAAAATAATCTCATTCCTTTTTAATTACTACAAATATTTTCATTTTATAAAGATTTGTTTTCATGTAACCTAAACAATCACCATAATTAACCAAAATACTATACCACATTTCAAAGAGTTAAAAATTCACCTATCCTAAATTTGCTTTCGTTAAGTCAAGTCCTTCAACCTAGGGATTATTTATGTCTCTCCTGTTCTAAAAGACAAAAGTAATATCACAATCTGCAAAGTCATTATAGGACTGGTTTAATACAGTAAATAACTCCATAATGAACTAGACAATAATGTGTTATTACTTCACGAAACCCTTAAAAGTTATTATAAACAAGATCTAAACCGTATACACATTTTAATCATTACAGCACAAACACCTAAATATCAAAAAAAAAAAAAAAAAAAAAAAAAAGCAGCAATTATTCATCATGAACTATTCAGGGGCACCTGGATGGCTCAGTTGGTTAAGCATTTGACTCTTAATATCAGCTCAGATCATGTTCATGAGTTCGAGCCCCATGTCAGGCTCTGAGCTGTGTCAGCACAGATCCTGCTTGGAATTCTCTCTCCCTCTCTCCCCCCCTGACCCCACTCATGTTTTCTCCATCTCAAATGAACTTTAAAACAAGAAGAAGAAAATAAATATTCAAATGGAGCGCCTGGGTGCTCAGTTAAGCATCAGTTCAGGTCTGTTATCAGAGTCGTGAGTTCAAACCCTACGTTGGGCTCTGTGCTGGACATGGAGCCTACGTTAAAAAAAAACAACAACAAACATTCAATCATTTTACAGTCTCCAAATATACTCGAACTCTTAGAACCATTCTTTTCCTGAATCCCAAATATCATGGATAGGAAAAGGAAAAAAAGACTAATCATAACCAGAATCACCCAAAGTAGCTGACAGTGCCTGCTCAAACATCCAATTCTAGATTTCAGCTCAGGTCATGACCTCACAGATTGTGAGTTTGAACCCCGCATTGGGCTCCGTGCTGGCAGGGTAGACCCTGCTTGGGATTCTCTCTTTCTCTTTCTTTCTCTCTCTCTGCCCCTCCCGAGCTTGTTCTAAGTAAATAAACTTAAAAAAAAAAATCTGTATTGTGAAAAAAGATCCTAGCTGATTGTGATATGCATATTCAACCGCATTAAATATGCCCATCCTGAAGGACTTACACTATTGGAATCTCCTTATCTAATTTAATTTATACAGTACTCATTCAACTAACAATTATTAAGTGACAGGGAATATGGCAAACAATGAAAATACATTCATATAGGGGAGCCTGGGGTGGCTCAGTCAGTTAAATGTCCAACTTTAGCTCA